GATAAAATGGAAAAGTTGAGGTGTCTTCCCGTTACCCTTCCTGTTTCATGTTTCCTTGTCGAGGTTTCCGCATCGAAACTGGATGACGAACTGATGGAGAGAAATTGGACTAGATTGTTAAAAGGAGTTTATGCGCTAGGTAGCCATGAGAGGGCGAGAGGTTTTGGCTAGGAAGCAAAGTTACGAGAGAAAGGAGGGTTGGACTAGAAGAGAGAGGGGTACAAAAAGGGAACGTTGTACCCTATACAGTAGGATGCAGTAATTGTAGCACACCTACCAAGCAGGGCCCAAGTTATCCAGGTAAAATGCCCTGATTACCTTGATTTTCAGGGTATTCTTTTGAGTTAGGCTGATTTTTCAGGGTTTGCGATTTTCTAACACTGATACATAAGTGTAGCAATTTTATTACCCTTTGAAAATCAGGGTTTGTGGCCCTTTCGCTCTGATCAATCAGGGCGGTAGGGCAAATACCCTGAAACACGGAACTCCAAGGCATATGGCGCTGTTTGGTCCTTACCCAAAATCAGTGCCCGGTGCGTGATGGATGCTGCTGTGTGCGGGTGCTAACCGTCCCTTCCAAAAATTATAGCCGATGTCTTCTCGAGGCTATGTGAGGGCACTAACTGGCCCTTCACCAAAATCAAAGCTCGAAGCATGGTGGGGGCTGTGTGAGGGCGCTGATTGGCCCTTTACCAAAATAACCCCCAGTTTTTACTGGAGGAGATTTGGGGGTGCCGATTGCTCCTTCACCTCAATTTTCTATCGATGTGTGTTGGAGGATGTGTGAGAGGGCGTTCATTGGCCCTTCACCACTATTGCCACCCACTATAATTGGCCCCTACGATTTTGATTCGCTCGCCCCTTCTTTTTTTTTTCCGCCCCATCCCCCAATCTCGCCCCCCACGCGCAATTTGCTCGAGACGAGATAGCACAAGTGTCACCTTGGGTGATAACCAATTACAAGCCAGCAGCATATTCGAGGCTCTTGCGCATTCGAACTTCAAACAAAAATATCCTAGATAGACAACCTATAATGTTTCACGAAAACTTTTCCTATTGTATTCAATGGATTTAAAGAACAGGCAAAGGACCCACAGGTTGGTTATAAAAATACCCTGTGTAAACAGGGCTGCAAAAAATCTACCTTGAAATAGCGATAATAGGGTATTTTGGTAGGGCGACCCTGATTTCAAAGGGAGGCCCAAAACCAATTTTGGGCCCTGCTACCAAGCCTACTCAATTATATATATATAAATAAATATATATATATATATATAATAGATCATTTGACATGGATTTCCTGCCAGATGGCACAACCGGATAGGCGTAACCCTTGTTCCTACCTCGCACCACCTGACACGCTCAGCCCCCCCCCCACTACACGTTCCTAATTGCGCAACTCCCTCGTTTCTTGCCTTTTGCTTCGACCTAAAAACTTGTATAGTAGACATATTCATAATAAAGGGTTAAAAGGGGCTTATCCTACCATATATACGATGGAAATAATGGGTCTAAACAGTGAGAGACCATGATAAAAGTGTCAAATTATATATTTTACATATATATTTGTTTAGGCTTTGTAGGTTTGCTACATTGCTGGACCCCCTTATTGCATCCCTCTTCTCCTAGTCGACTCTCTTTTCTCTCGTAACTTCTCCTAGCTAAACCTCTCACCCTTTCATGGCTTCCGAGCTTCTCAAGCTTCTTAACATGGTTTCAGAGCAGGCCCTTCCGCTCGGGCCTTCTCCTCACGCTTCCGCAGCATACCCTCCTCCCTCCTGTCACTTCCGCGCTCCGTGGCAGCCATGTCGTGCTGCCATGGTGGCTTCATTGTGCTGCCGTGGCAGCCTCGACACGCTGCCTCGCTGAAGCCACGTCCCCTCCCCTGAGCCACCCCTCATTCCAGCCGCAGCTGATGATTCCCTTCCCGGTCGTCGCCTGGCCGTGCCACGCCGCCGGGTGCCGCGAGCTTCACAGTTGGTGCCGACGTTGTCGAAGCCGCCGCTATCGATGCAAGTGCAGCTGGCTCCGCCACCACCCGCTCCCCCGTCGACGCTGCCGTCGTTGTAGAAGCCGCCGCTAACGTCGTTGCTGCCGCCCGCCGGGGGTGTCACCGCTTCGCACGAGGAATAGAAGCCACACCTGCTGCAGGACATGGGGGTGCAAGGGTTTGGGTTTTTTTCGTGTTGGGTTGGCTTATGACTACCACATTGAAAGGAGTATAGGAGCTAGCTAGTCATGAGAAATGTCGAGAGGTTTTAGCTAGGGAGAAAAGTGACGAGAGAAAAGAGAGTTGGACTAGAAGAGAGAGGGATACAAGAAAGGTGTTGTACCCTCTATAGTAGGATCCATTGTAGGACACCTAACACCTACCAAGCCTACACAAATATATATATATATATAATATATAAGTTGACACAGCCCCTTAGGCTTGGTAGGCGCTAGTACACCACACATGCAACACCCCCAAGCCCTTGCATCCCCATGTCCTGCAGCACGTGTGGCTTCAACCATTCGTGCGAAGCGGCGACATCGGCGGCGGGTGGCAGCAACGGCATCAGCGGCGACTTCTACGACGATGACAGCGGCGGCTGCGGTGGCAGATGGCGGCGAAGCCAGCGGCATCTGTAGTGGCGGCGGCGGCTTCGACGACTGCAGCAGCGAAAGCGAAGCTCGCGGCACCTGGCGGCGTGGCACGGCCCGGCGACGACCGGGAAGGGAGCCATCAGCTGCGGCTGGGATGAGGGGAGATGCAAGGGAGTGGGTGTGTCTTCGGCGAGGCGCCGTGGCTGGCGCGGCACTTGCTGGCGTGCGGGCATGCTGGCTGGCGCCTAAACCAGCGCGCCGGCCGCAGCCGTCCGTGCGCTGGCGCATCGAAGCCACCGCAGCAGCACGACGACGCCATAGCAGCATGACAAGGCCGCTGCGGCAGCGCGGCGAGGCCGCCACGGCTGCTTGACGAGGCCGCCACGCGTTGAGGCCGCCATGGCAGCAGGACGTGGTGGCCACGGCTGCTCAACGAGGTCGTCGCGGCAGCGCGGCGAGACGAGGTCACCACGGCCGCGCGGCGAGGCCGCCGCGGCAGCACATGGAGGCCGCCACGGCGGCGCAAAAGTGAAAGGAGAGGAGATAGTACGCGATGGAAGCGTGAATAGGAGGCTCAACAGAATCTTCTTGCTCTGATACCATGTCGAAAGGAGTTTAGGAACAAGCTAGTCATGAGAAATGTCGAGAGGTTTTAGCTAGGGAGAAAAGTGACGAGAGAAAAGAGAGTTGGACTAGAAGAGAAGGATACAAGAAGGGTATTGTACCGACTACAGTAGGATCCATTGTAGGACACCTAACACCTACCAAGCCTACACAAATATATATAGATAATATATAAGTTGACATACCAAGCCTATGGGGTGTGTCAAATTTTATATTTTACATATATATTCCTTTAGGCTTAGTAGCTTTGCTTCATTTCTGGAACCTACTGTAGAGGGGACAACTCCCCCCTTCTTGTATCCATGTCTCTTCCTAGTTGACTCTCTTTTCTCTAGTAACTCTTTCCCCCTAGCTAAACCTCTCGCCCTTTCATGGCTTCCTAGTTTCTCAAGCTTCTTAACACGGCTTCAGAACGGCCCGAAATAAGCCCTACTAGGGGTTTTAATATTTCAGGGTCTTAATGTCAACTTATACATACATTTGCATGTAAAAGTTATAGGCTAGAATAGGTGTGTATTCTTAGAGAGTACAACCCAAACCCTATATCTCCCTTGTTCTCTCTTCCTTCTAATCATTCTAGTATTCTAACATGGGAAACCGGGAGACCTCGGCACGAATAAGCTCACTGCCCGCACTGTCCCTTGTGTCTTCCTACGTTTCCCCCTTGAATCGTATGACTGGCACTTTTACCACCCGCCATCTCACTGCTTCTTTCACTCCCCTGATGCCATTTTCAACGAGTCTGCCTCTTTCTACCACCGTTATCTCCACCGAGGTCTCCGGGTTTCCCCTCCCCTGTTTCTGATTCCCACACCCCCGGTAGCCCCTGCTCACCTCCCTCCTCGTCCTGCTCCGTCTGGTGCGTCTCACGTCACTCCCCTTTTGTCGGTTGTCCCCATCGAGGAGTCGACGGAATCTAGCGGCCCCACGGCGTAGTTCTCGCCACCTGTCTCTCCCCCAGTGTCTCCTCTTCCGCCGCCGTAGTCGCCGCCGCAGCAGCCGCCGTCGCCGTCGCAGCAACTGCTGCCGTTGCAGCAGCAGCAGCAGCAGCCGTTCGCGGACACTGGGGGTGATGGCATTAAGGAGGGTGCTCGTCCTCGGGTTCCAGTCATGGCTTGTCCAAGCAGGCTTGGAGGTGGCATCGGTGCTGGAGAGGGTTCTCGCTCTGGGGGTGCTCGTTCAATGGGTGCAGGAGTAAAGTGTTTTGGAGGAGGTCGCGGTGCAGCTAGCGGTCCCGGTGTGTTAGAATATACCATGCTATGCTAGTTGTGTATATTGTGTTTACATCCCTAGTTGGGTGTACACCTGTGTTGGGGTGTCAATCCAACCCAATTGTGGTTGGAGCCCCCAAACACAAGGACCACAATTGTGGGGGCACCACAAGTGGGTTGGCTAAACCACTGGTGGTACACCACACTTGGACCACCTCCAACTGGTGGTCAACCACATTTGGAAGGATCCTCCCTCCCTGGTGATTGGTCCTAACCCCCCCTTCCCTTCCAACCTTCTCTTCCTAGCTCATCTCTCTCTTCCTACGTAATGCCTTTGCTTCATCAATAAACTGAACCTTTCTGTTTCTAACATGGTATAGAGCAATAATGGCTCACGCCAACTTTTAAATCCCGATCCTTCTCCACGCTTCCGCCCCGTCCCCTTCCGACGTGCACCTCATTGCCGTCCCCTCCATCGCCGCTGCTAGACTTCTAGCCGCCGCCTCTCAACTAGTTTTCTGTTGGGTGGATTTTCAAAAACCCCCAATGCGCCAAACGCCATAGCTCACTCGATAGTTGACAGAATTGAGTGATTCGACTTGCAAAAGAACGCTCTTGATGCCAGCTACAACGTCGTAAAATTTCAGACTGTTTCATTGCTTGGATTGTTGGATACCGCTTTCCGAAGTTTGCGCACTTTCCTGGATGTGATCACGAAGTGCTACTGAAATTTCTACCAAGTCCTATTTTCATCAGCTAACTGCCATCTTTCCCCATCTTTTGCCTCCTCACCTGCACCTGCTCATCGCCGCCTTACCACTGCTGCAGCCGTAGCAGCAGCAGCAGAAGCAGCAGCAGCACCAGAAGGAGCAGCAGACTCAGCAGCAGCAGCAGCAGCAGCAGCAGTAGCAGCAGCAGCAGCAGCAGCAGCAGCAGCAGCAGCAGCAGCAGCAGCAGCAGCAGCAGCAGCAGCAGCTGAAGGAGCAGCAGCAGCAGCAGCAGCAACAGCGGCAGCAGCAGCAGTGGCAGCAGCAGCAGTGGCAGCAGCAGCAACAGCAACAGCAGCAGCAGCAGCAGCAGAAGGAGCAGCAGCAACAGCAGCAGCAGCAGCAGCAGCAGCAGCAGCAGCAGCAGCCGCAGCAGCAGCAGCAGCAGCAGCAGCAGCCGCAGCAGCAGCAGCAGCAGCAGCAGTATCTACAGCCATCCCCATCCTCCCCTCCTCTTTGAGCCGCCGCGGGTCCACCCGCCGCCGCTCCCTCCCGGCCACCGCGGGTCCACCCGCCGTCGCCTTCCTCCCACTCCGTGTCACCAATGGCATCCTTTCCCCCTCCCGTCGACGTCTCGACCCTCGATCATCTCGTGCGCGCTGCCGACAACTCAGCAACCAACTGGTATTCCTTCGTCGGCAGCCTCCACCGCGTCCTCGGCAGTGCTTATGTCCTGCCGTTCCGCCTCCTGGACATCATGCTTGGTCTCCCAGAGGGTGACCTTGGGGACCCGCCGCCTCACCCTGGCGATCCCCCCCCTCTCATTCCCCATCCCGGCGAGGAACCTCCGCCCCCTATGGTACCCGTTGGCACCAGCACTCGCGCTGCCACCGCTGAAGTTGAGCAGCTCTTCCTTACTCAGCGTCGTGAGTTCCTCGTGCTCCATACTGATTACCTGATCGCGTTGGAGGAACACGAGCGGTCGGCAACCCTCCGCACCCAGCATGCCGCTACCGCCGCCGCTTATGCCGCTGACTCTGCGCGATTTGCTGAGCGTCGTCGCGCCTGGCTCGAGGCGGACAGCCGTGCTACTGGTGCCCTTCTCCTTGCCATCCCGTCTGCGCTCATGCGCAACTTCCAGGCACGTCGCATCGGCTCCCGCCAGATCTGGCTCGAGCTTGAGGCAATGTTCGAACGCACCGACTTCGATGCTGTCGGACCGCTCTTCAAGGAATACTTCAGCATCACGATCGAACATAGTGCTGGCGCTGTTGACTACACCAGCCGTCTCCTGGACCTTGCCTCCCGCCTTGAGGCTCGCCAGACTACTCTCCCCCCCAACCTTCAGATCTACCGTCTCCTCGAAGGCCTCTCCCCTCAGTATGAAGTACGCGTCATCGCCTTCACTGAGGCTCAGCCCCGCGCCTCCCTTGACACTGTGGTCCAATGGATCATTGACGCTGAGGCCCGCCTTCTCTCAACCCCCCCCTCCGGCCTGAACTCCACCGAGTCCCAAAACCCCCAGCTTGCAGTCACACAGCCGCGTCGTGGCGGGCGCCCACGTGGCGGCCGCACCAACCCTCAGGGAGGGGGTGGAGGTGGCGGTTGTGGGGGCAGCGGAGCCGGCGGCGGTGGTGGCGGGGTCGAGGGTGGCAGCAGTGGTGGTGGTGGAGGCAGTGGTGGCTCATCTGGTAGCCATGGTGGCCGCCCTGGCACTCTCCCCCCATGTTCCTATCTTCGCCGTTTTGGTCCCAGGGCAGGTGAGCGCTGCACCCAAACCAACCATCCCCCCGCGACCTGCTTCAAGGCATATGATGACGCCTGGTTCGAGCGCGGCAACATTGGCACACCCCCACGCTGGTCTGCCATGGATCCCCGCCCCTCTCTCCAGGATGTCAAAACTCTTCCGTCTTTCCTCCCCTCTCATCTTCAGCTCTCCTCCTCCTCCTCCTCTGTCGCTGACCCCATAACTCCCCTGGAGCTGCAGCAGTTTCGCCGCTTCCAGCAGCTGCAGCTGCTGCAGCAGCAGCAGCAGTGGGGCTCTGGTGGTCAGGCTGCAGCCGCAGCTGCAGGAGCCGCAGCCGCAGCATCTGCATGGCAGCAGCAGCAGCTTGGCTTTGGCACCGCCGCCATGGCTGCCACAGCCACAACAGGTCCTCCTGGCTTTCCCCTCTGGGGCTCTCCTTCCCCTAGTGCTCCCGCCTCCCACTCCAGCTTTCTAGGCGAGCTCATGCGTTCTTCCCCTGCTTCCACTTCCATGTATCCCTCTATTTTTAATGCCAGTGATTTCCAGTACCCCGTGTCTTCAGCTCCCTCCTCGCTCACGATTGACTTTGTTCTCGATAGTGGTGCCACTGAAACTGCCCTCAAAGACGCCGGCACCCTCACCTCCCTCCCCTTCCCCACCAACGTTCATGGTGCTGATTCCAGCTTCTCCATCCCTTGCACTCATCTCTCCACCCTCCCCTGCCCCCCCTTCCCCTCTGGAGTGGTCACTGGTCTCCACATTCCCTCCCTTCGTCATAACCTGCTCTCCATTCGTGAACTCCAACAGGCTGGCATCACTACCCTCTTCCCCGCCTCTGCCACCTACTGTGACCTCCTCCACGGCCCCACTCGCCGCCTCCTTTCATCGCCTCCCACTTTGCCCTCGCTCTCGTCAGTACATCCTCCGCACACCCCGCCCCTCCTCATGCCACGTGACCACTCGTGCAGGCACCTCCACTCTCCCCCCTCCCCTCCCTCTAGAGCCACCTTCTTCCAACTCCACCTCCTCCCCATGCTCTTGTCGCGCACTGTCCCACCCCGCTGTTCTCATCCACCACCGCCTTGGTCATATGAACTTTCCCACACTTCGTAAAGCCGTCTCCTCCCGCTTGCTTGACGGTTTTCCCCCCACTCTTCCTCCCCTCCCGTCCTCTTCCGCTCCCCCATGCGCCACATGCATTCATGGAAAGCTCAAACAACAGCCTCACCTCAGTCATCCTTCCTTTGCTGCTGCCCCCCTTGACCTCGTCCACATGGACCTCTGGGGCCCTAACCCTTCCCCTTCCCGCCAAGGGCACCGGTACATGCTTGTCCTAGTCGACGACCACAGAAGGTACTCCTCGGTGTTCCTCCTCCACACGAAGGCCGAGGCCCCTGCTGTCATCGTTACCTGGGCCGAGCAGTGCCGAGTCCACTTTGGTCGCCCCATCCGCCGCCTCCATTCCGACGGCGGTGGTGAGTTTCTCAACCGCACCCTCTCCTCCTACTGCTCAACCCATGGCATCCAGCAGACTCATACCCTTCCCCACTCCCCTCAGCAGAACGGTGTTGCTGAGAGTCGCATTCGTGAGATCACCAAGACGGCCCGCTGCCTCCTCACTCATGCCTCCACGCCCCCTTCTCTTTGGGGCTATGCCCTTGTCCATGCTGCTCTCCTTACTAATATTTACCCACATCCTCAACGCCAGTCTGTCACTCCCACTGAGCTCTGGGCTAGCACCAAGCCAGATGCTGCCATTCTCCGTATCTGGGGTTGCAAGGCATATGTCCTCATCCCCCCACCTGACCGCTCTCGGCAGGCAGGAAAGCTCGCCTCCAAGGCCATTGAGTGTGTCTACCTTGGCCACGCTCGCTCTGCCCCTGGTTACCTCTTCCTTCACCCGTCCTCAGGCCGCCTCCTACAGAGCCGTGACGTGGTGTTCGATGAGAGCATCCCGTTCTATCATTCTGTTCCGCCTTCCGACCCCCTTCCTCCTCTCTCCCGCCCCCTCACCTGGGCTGATGCTGTCATTCCCCCACTCCTTCCCCAGGCTCCCCTCCTTCCTCCAAATCCTGCTCCTCCCCCTCCTCCTTCCTCAGGTGACATTTACGACCCAGCTGTCCCTGACTCCCCTGCTCACTCTGCCTCATCGCATCAGCACCAGCAGCAGCAGCAGCAGCAGCAGCAGCAGCAGCAGAAGGAGCAGCAGCAGCAGCAGCAACAGCAGCAGCAGCAGGTGCAGCAGCAGCAGCGGATGGAGCAGCAGCAGCAGCAGCAGCAGCAGCAGCAGCAACAGCAGCAGCAGCAGCAGGAGGTGCAGCAGCGGATGGAGCAGCAGCAGCAGCAGCAACCGCAGGCAGTGCAGCAACAGCAGCCGCAGCAGGAGGTGCAGCAGCAGCACCAGCAGCAGCCACAGCAGCAGCAGCCACTGCAGCAACCTCATTGGCATCGCCGCACCACCTCTCCGTTCATCCTCCCACGCATCCACACTCGCTCTCACGGCCCACTCATAGGCCATCCATGGGGTTGGCCAACACCACCCCCACCCTCCCTTCCCTTCATTGAGGACTCCCATGAGGAGCTCATTGGGGTTCAGCAACAAACACCTTCCCTCACGCCTCTCTACCCGGGCTTCCTTGGCCTCCTCATCCTTGGCATCGCTACCGCTCCCACCAGATTCACTCCGTCCAACTTCCTTGAGGCCATCACCTGCCCCGATGCTGCCAAGTGGATCCAGGCTATCTTTGCTGAATGCGAGGCCTTCATCCGCAATGCCTCATTCGTTAACATTGTCCCCTCTCCTGACGACGTCATTGTTGAAGGCCTGTGGGTGTTCCGAGTGAAGCAGCTGCCGGGTGAGGAGCCGGTCTACAAGGCCCGGTATTGTGCCAAGGGCTTCACCCAAACCCATGGCATCGACTACTGGGAGACATTCTCTCCCACTGCCAAGCTCCCAACTCTCCGTGCCATCCTCGACTATGCTGTTCGCATTGGCATGGAGATTGCCTCCATGGATGTCTCCAACGCCTTCCTGCAAGGCGAGCTCCAGGAGCGGGTCCTCTTGCGGCGGCCTCCAGGCTTTCATGCAGCCTTCCCTGCCAACACGGTCTGGGAGCTGCGCCGCCCAGTTTATGGCCTCAAGCAGGCTCCTCGCGAGTGGCACAACAAGCTGGCCGCCACTCTGCAGTCCTTGGGGTTCCATGCCTCTCAGTCTGATGCCAGCCTTTTCCTTCGCTCCTCTCCCACCCGCTTCTTCATCCTGGTGTATGTCGACGACATGATCCTGTTCGCTGACGATGCTGCCGCCATGCAGCAAGTGAAGGACGCCCTGCATGCGCGCCTCAAGTGCAAGGACCTGGGTGAGCTCAAGCACTATCGGGGCATGACCATCACCCGGGACCGCACATCGCGCACCATTACCCTCTCTCAGTCCTTCTACATCGACCAAGTCTTGCAGCGGTTCGACATGGCGCAGGCCAAGCCGGTTACCACTCCCCTGCAGACCAACCACCAGCTTGCCCCTCCTCCTGCTCCCTCCTCCTCTGACCATCCTTACGCTGAGCTCGTCGGCTCGCTGATGTACGCTATGATGTGCACCCGCCCCGACCTTGCCTACCCCATCAGTGTTCTTGCTCGATTCGTCGGTACCGGTCGCCACACTGATGAGCACTGGGCTGCAGCGAAGCGGGTCCTCCGCTACCTCCGTGGTACCAAGGACTATGTCCTCACCCTCGGAGGCTCTTCTCCTCCCCTCCTCTCTGGCTTCAGTGACTCCTCCTGGGCTGACTCCCAGCCGGATCGCCGTTCCTCTCAAGGCTACGGCTTCACCCTTGGCAGCGGCCTCATCAGTTGGCGCTCCACTCGCTCCTCCTCCATCGCCCTCTCATCCTGCGAGGCTGAGCTCTATGCTTGCACCATGGCCGCTCAGGAGGCTCGCTGGCTCACCTTCCTCCTTGCTGAGATCGGTGCTCCTCAGCGCTGTCCCACCCTCTGGTGCGACAACGCCAGCACCATCCATCTCACAAAGGACCCTGTCTTCCATGGCCGCTCCAAGCACATTGAACTCCGCTACTTCTTCGTTCGAGAGTTGGTCCAGCAAGGTCACTTGGTGGTCCGCAAGATCGCTGCAGAGGCCAACTTGGCCGACATCTTCACCAAGGCCCTCCCGAAGACCGCGCACTCTGCCCTCCTCCGCCTTCTCGGCCTTGGGCCCCGCCCCCCTTCCTGATTCTGGGGTTGTACCCTACATATACACTAGCTTTGCATGCTATGGGGTTGTGTTAGAATATACCATGCTATGCTAGTTGTGTATATTGTGTTTACATCCCTAGTTGGGTGTACACCTGTGTTGGGGTGTCAATCCAACCCAATTGTGGTTGGAGCCCCCAAACACAAGGACCACAATTGTGGGGGCACCACAAGTGGGTTGGCTAAACCACTGGTGGTACACCACACTTGGACCACCTCCAACTGGTGGTCAACCACATTTGGAAGGATCCTCCCTCCCTTGTGATTGGTCCTAACCCCCCCTTCCCTTCCAAACTTCCCTTCCTAGCTCATCTCTCTCTTCCTATGTAATGCCTT